TCCTCGTTTAGACATTTCAGTTTTAAAGCTATTTTAACTCTCCTACATTTGATACCAAACTTATTTAATTTGGCCAAGCGGTTTGTTTATCATTAGGAAAGGACTTTTATTTCGGCCTTAAAAAATATTTTACCAGAATTAACTTAAAAAAATAAAAAAAATTTCAGTACAAGTGAATTTAGATGACATCGTAAGATCAACAGAACACTGAAAACGAAACGAAATTTATTTGAGAAAATTTGAGAAAGCCAGTATATTTACTGTTAAAAATTCCTCGAGGTATTTGCGTTTTTAAACAATTTCGTTGTGCAAATAATTTTTATATGTAAATTTTTCCCATTGCTGCACCTATGTACATACATAAATATGTATGCAAACATGTGCCACATACATAACTGTGCATGCAATTATTCATTTTTGTAGTCAATCACCTCAAAAACAAAAACCTGAATGTTAGGCATGTCGCAATTAAAATAATTAAAAGTTTTGTTACGTGCTCGTGCGGAAAATACCATGCCAACGTTTAAATTAAATTTCTTAATCGAGCTTATCTGCAGATAAAGTGAGGAAATTAGATTAAAAAAAAGGCGGGCTATATTTAGTGTTCAGAGCTACTTGTTTGTATGCGCACAAGTGCTTTTTTTTTTCTATTTGTTTACATACATACGTACAATCTTTAATATATACCTGTTTATTTACCTCAACGATGTAATCCAAACCGAGGCGAACAGCCTCACCGTCAGCCACCCAATGCGGTGGAACGCTCTCAAATTACCGCATAAACATTAACTTGTAGTAATCGTAGCTCTGAATTGTACGATTGATTACTTGAACCACCCAGCGAAGGTCTGCAAGTAGCCCTTTGTACCGTCTCTCTTCGTCTCTTCTAATGACCTACTAATTGTTATTTGACAATCATTATTTGTTTTTATTTGACAATTACTTTATTCAATATCTATACAGATATACAATGTATTTGCTGGGGCAAACAAATATTTGTTTGTGAAATAAGCAGCCGCAGAAGATTCCCGCGTTCGCTTGTCAGCCATTAGGTTTGATTCTTTATGTCAAGGCAAAAATGTATTCTGTGGACAATTGAAATGCATTGAAGCGATCGACGGCGATTGACGATTGACGATCGAGTTTCTAGTAAACAATCAATAATTTGAAAGGCCACACTGAATGGCAGTCAATTTTCTCTATTCGAATTGTAAAGACATACAATTTTAGATTTAAGTTCGTACATAGTATATACATATATATGCATGTACCTACGAGTGTACAAATCTCATTTTAGGTTTTAGTGTCAACGGTAATATTTGAAAACATTAGGGTGGTTTTTTTTTTTTTTTACTGTGGGAGTAAGGTATAGGAGTATCCTACGTTAAGTTCTAAGCAAAAACCATGGGTCTAAAATCAATTCCGACCGCTCCAAACTAACAAAATATATTTTTTGCTTAGCAACGGTTTATTTTGTTTCGAATTTTTTATAAAATAATGCTTTAAAATATTTTTTGATATGAGGACTGCATTTCTAGTTTTTAACAAAAAATATATATTTTAATTTCTTAAAATTTGCTTTTCATACAACTTTAATTTAATAAAAATTTTAAGAAATACAATTTTTTTACCATTTTATCTAAAATTTTTATTCCAGCAAGTAGTCGTCTACATGGTATTAAGCATAACAATTTTGTAAATTCCATGCACTCTCGTCACGGGACTTTACCGACTCGAAAGCTCCAAATTGATTTTAAAGGCATAGGTTCTTCGGAAAATACTCTTGCAATATTACGTAGAATACTCCTAAGCCCTACCCGCATAGTCGAAAAAAAAACTTCGATACAAATTGACCCACCTTAATGTACATAAATTCATACAAACATACATATACATATGAGTACAATCACCGCTAGACTTTTCTAAGCGTAAAACTCGCTTTACTTTCTGTGGTTTCGAATTTCACAAAATAAAATCATCAAAAATAAATAAATAAAAATCAAACACAAAAAAAAATTAATACCTGCAACGGAGAGAATGTCATTCCATCATCGCTCAGCTGCATTGTTCATTTGATAGCTTTCAACGCGTGACAATTGTTACATTTTTTAAGTGTGTTTTTAGTGCAATTAAACATAAATCTAATTAAATGTGTGGTATAAATGTGTGCTTTTCGAATTCAGGTGTTCGTTTGTAAGTATATAGAAACTCTGCAATGCTTATTCTAAGTGCTTGCCAAAATGAATACAGCGAAGCATATGTTGGTATGTACATATATACCCGGCAGGAAATTTTTCTGATACCAAAGGGTTTGAATTTCTAGTAAATTTATAATATTGAAAATTGTAAATTTTTCAGAGCAGAGGTCTTTTTCTTAGCTTAAACTTTTGCCGATGACTTGACCTATTTCTTTAACCTTTGATGAATTCTTTGATTCTCACGGCTCAAATCATTGCTACCAAGTTGAGAACTATGTAGTTTTTTTCTGTTTCTAGCGACACAACTTTTTCATACAAAAAATATTCCGTTTTTGGTTGGGAATTTATGTTTTTTAAGTATAGATTTAGTTCAGCCAGAATTTTAGAGATTTACGACATACTTCAGCTATCCACTTAAGCTCAAGTCGTTCTCGAGGCTAAATATTTACAGGAATTTAATTAGTTTTTATTAATGAATTTGTTTTAATTTAAACCGAAATTTTGAGTCTCAATATTTGCTGCCATTTTGCTGCCTGCAGAAGGTGAATGTGATTTTTATAACTGGATAAGAACTATTGAAAAAGGTTTACGAAGTATGTACATATATCGGTCCAAATTTCCCTAGTCAATTGCTTACTTCAAAAAGTCGAAAAATGTCACACGGCTAAGAAAAAAGAAAAAGCATTTCCAACTTCACTTTCCCTACAGGGTATGCAGTGAAGCATATCTACATATACTGTACTATAAATGGTTATTTTTTAGTTATGGAAAGCTACATTTAAAACACGCATGATGTAAAGCTACTCATAAATAATTCTTGGAATTTAACAGTATTACTAAGTATTGTTTTCTGAATAGAAAAAAAATCATATAGGTATTATTACTATGCATATTGTAGATAAACATGTACGGTCACTTGTTTGCAACAAACCGGATATTGTAATAGAGATAAAAGCAAATCATATTTTTTTCAAAGTCCTCTTTGTGTGTGATAAAAACAAAAACAAGACATAAATTTTGTTCAGCAACGACATCTTATATGCCCAAACACGAAGATATGTAAATATGTGCATTAGGGTGGTACAAAAATGCACAGGAAAATCAACTCTTTGGAATTTTCCTGCTGCCAACCCTCAGAACTGAAGCATATCGAAAATAAGGAGACCCAATTTTTTTTTACATGGGAAAAATACAACTTTTCCTAGCATTGCTTGTAGAATGTATGGGAAATTTCAAAGGCCAGCCGGCACGCTTAAATATTAACCGGTTTCAAAACAAAAAAAATACAGGTTGGACCACCCTAATGTGCATATTAATTTTACCTACATACTTTTACCAGTCGACAAATTGTAGATTGCTTCTAAATCAGTCATAGCCAAAATATATTCCATGGGATATGCTTTCCAAAAGTTTGTACAGATTTAATATCAGTAACGAGCAGAGAGAGCTTTTACTTAGTAAATGTGTGCGCTAATTTAAAATCTATACAAACACTTAAAAAGTTTCTTGCGGGAGAAATGTTTGGGTAGTGACTGTTTTACATTTCACATATCTGATGGGAAGAGCTTTTAAAAACATTCCATGTTTTATCAGATCAGAGAGAGCTTTTACCTTGTGCACAACCATACAAAATGTAAACAAGCGCAGAATAAAAGCTCTCTCTTGAAATCAGTCACGATCAAAGCATATTCTGCGATGGAAGCCTTTTAAAACTTGCTATAAGTTTAATGTGGACGCTCAAAGTGTGAAAGCTTTCTCTGATCGTCGCTGCTGTAAACAAACGCTTTCAAACAAGGGTTTTAAAATAGGACCTTCTTTTTTAGAAGTTGTATGCGAAGATATGAAGTCTTTTGACACCGATATATGTTAATAAAACTAGATTTTTCTCGGCAAAAAGTTGTTCGGCAATTTCATAATTATTTTATGATGCGAACCGTAAATTAAGTAAAAGTAATGTGGTTAATAAGCCAAAGACGAATGATGCTGAACAAGCATCTATATTGATTACCTTTTTTATCGTTTACTGTAAGGAGCTTGAATTCCCCGCCTATTAAACGACAGCAGCGTTATTCGTCACAGAGACCACTTGAGAAAAAGACAAAACCAAACTTTACTGACGGCGCCAATACGGGATCCATGTATGGAAACCAGTAGAACGCAATGGACCCGACTAGATATCTGTCACAAAGTCGCACTACAGATCATCACAGAGTGTCTTCTCATAACGCAAGAAGGCAGTGCCTCCATAGTAAAGCCCCGATGCTGCCTGTCAAGGAGTATAACAACAGGCTCTGTAGGCATTTTCTGCTGGGAGGCTACCGTAGGAAGTACTCTAATATATAAATACTAAAAGCAAGGCCGCATCACCTGCATATTAGGGGGTATCTTCGTAGGTATTCTAACAAAGTCCAACTTTACACAAGACAACTATTGAACACGATCGGCTATCCAGAAGAACTGAATTTTTTTATTAGGAAATCCGTTAGCAATTACATAGGCTCTGGCCCTTTGATTGTTATTATGGGCTGTCAAAAATCAGCAATTTCAGACGAATAGTTAAATTATATCAGGGCCTACATGGCAACTGAAGCCAACTCTTCTAGCTCTTTGATCGGGCTCTTCTTAACCTTATATATGTATTAGCTAAGGCTCAATAGAAAAAAGTGATTGTTCTTCGTATTATTTGAAAAAGAAACTAGAGACCGAAATTTCAATACTAGAAAGAACTCAATGCAACTATTTTGTGTACCCTCAATCATATCACAAATTCTAACATTCTTCAATTAAATTTTGCTCTCACAGAATCTCCGAATCGTTATCTTGAATCGGATGTAAATATCCATTTCAAGACACCAATACGTCATGAATACAAACAGGCCATGTCGGATGAGGAATTAGCACAACGACAGGCTGAACAAATGCAAAAGCTTTATCAGGAGGAACGTCGACGCAAGTACTTACAGGAATTGCAGGATATGAATGCGCGCCGTCACACTGACAATTTTACACCAACACAAAAATCACCAATACCATTGAATCGGTATGATGACTTCCAATCGGATTTGGCACCCAAATCGCCAAATACGATAACAACACGTACGGCAGCGCGTGCGCTCTACAACTTCCAAGGACAAAATGCAAGGTAGGCAGGCATGACGAGAATAAATACTTAGTCCTCATTGTTCGCATTGCAAAACTCTTTTTTTTTTTTTGTCCGCAGGGAGCTCTCGTTTAAGAAAGGCGATATTATCTACATTCGCCGACAAATTGATCGTAACTGGTACGAAGGTGAACACAATGCCATGATTGGTCTGCTACCAGTGAGTTACGTTGAGGTAAGTGATATTTTTATATATTAAAACAAGTGTTTGAAAAAGTGCAGGAAATTTGCCGGAATCAAGATGTGACAATAAGCATAGAAATAAATTATTTGCTGGGCAGATGTTTTTGGCCACTGGACATACATTTTTAGCCATTTTAAAATCTGGCATACAATTTTGCTAACTTAAAAACTGAACACACATATGTAAATTTTGCTAATTTTAAAACTAGACATATATTGTTGGCCAATAAAAGCTGAACATAAATATTTGCTAATTTTACAATTGAACATAAATTTTGGTCATTTAGAAACTGTAAAATATTTAAAAAAATATGCATACACACACTTTTAGAAATTTAAAAACTGGACATAAATATCAGTAATTAAAAAACTGGACATAAATATCAATAATTAAAACACTGGACATTTATCATTGGCAGAATAAAACTGGACATAATTTTTTATCGTTTTTGAAAGTTTTAAACTGGACATAAAATTAAGCTAATTAAAAGCTGGATATAAATTTTGGAAATCTAACAACTAGGCAATAATTCTCGGTCCATTAAAAACTGGACATAAATATTTCCTAATTTAACAACTGAACATAAATAATGGTAATTTAAGAACTTTAAAGTCTTTAAAAATATACACACCTTTTTGAATGTTTAAAAACTGGGCATAAATTTCAGTTAGTTAAAAATTCGACATAAACTTTTGGTAAATTAAAAACCGAACATACACTTTTGGTTAATTAAGAACGGCGAACATTTTGGTCATTCAAAAACTGAGATCACATGTTTAGCTTTTCAAAAAAATATACATACATAATTTATTGGTCATTTAAAAATTGCAAATAAATTTTCAATCATTTCAAAATTGGACATCAAACTTTCAAACTCATTTTATTTTTTTCTTGAGTAGAGTGAGGCTGAATTTATTTGGCTGACAAAAAAAAAATAAAACTGATCTCTAGTGTTATATTGGCTGAATTTCTTTATTCATTCTGAACGTTTGGAATAAACTTTTCTGTTTATTTATTCTTTAGAACGTTCCTGATGATATGTTGACGTATATTTCAAACGCATTCTGTTTATTCCGGCTGTGAAATGGGATTATCCGGAATGTATAAAGAAACGCAGCCATTACGTTCAAATTGGCCCCATTTAACTTGTTAAATGAAAAAGAGCTTTTTGGAAAACACAATCGTCCACATTGAACATTTGGAGTTAACTTTGACGGTTGTTTGATTACCTATAAAAATTCGAAAAAAAATTATTCAAAATCAAGTTTTTGTGTTTCAATTTGTTTTGTGTGAATGTCTGCTTCATGATATTAACGCATACGGATTACTTAGAGACTTCAAAATGTTTAGTTCGTATGCACTATTTATCTCTGCGTACGATGAGACCTCATGGGAAATAACTAATTACCACCTTTGCCTCTTTTTTGGCGGGCAGACATGCATACAATTTTGATAATTTTTGATCATTTTTAATTTTTAATATTTTTCAGAATATAAATTTTTTGAACGTTGGCATGTCAAATTAAAGCTTTTGGGTCTTTCGGATTGGTCGGAGCAGAAAGCTTTCTGATACAACTCTGCGCTGAACTGGTTTTCAAACGAGTTAAATGATTTAACTGGTTCAATTTTCCAACAACAATTGCATGCGATTTAACTTGTTTATGAACATGTTTTGTTCATTTAACTGGTTCAAGCCCATTTAACATGTTTAGCACGTCAATTTGAACGTAGTATTACCGAGAGAATTTATGTGGGAATGCGCCATAGGTCCTCGCGTGGTGTATTATTTTGGCAACTCTGGTGGATTTCCAAACGTCTGATCCGCGATATTTCTCAATCTCGCAATGTGGTGAGGAACACAGACCTAAAACAGGTTCTTAGTCACAGTGTACAAAATGCTGGGATATTATACATATGGTGAACCAGTTGAGAAGAGCAACTTCAAGGAAGCACTTTAATTTCCGTAATCCTGCCGAGTGCCTTCCGTGCTGTTCTCTCATTACACTGCTTTCATTTTGGTGTTCATTGTTCGTTTTTCAACATATTGTGAGGTAAGCGCCAGCCCAATTGAGGTTGGGTACGCCTACCCCTTGGCTAGTCTGATCGCTAGATCACTTCAGTCCATTGCCTTGTGCCATGGTACCAATAATATATGGATGTTGTGATAAATAGCAAGAGAGTTAAGTGCTGGAAGACTAGCGATCAAGTAACCACGAACGACGAAAAAGCTTGGGAGCCGCCGAGCTATCAGTGAGAAAGATAATTCTCTCACTGTGATAGTTCTTGCTTAGGTATACCTACCGCACACACACTGATGGCTAAAATATGTGGGTCCAAATACGGCGGACCCTTTGCCTTCGGGAGTTTTCGGGTAATCTTTGTACCAGTGCAGAGTATTCGGCCAGATATGAATGTCTTTCCAAAATAGAGGGAACCCAAGCTTTTTTTTATACTAATTTTCTTTTCATTCATCTGTAAGAAGTAGGGTTGGTGAGAGCTGGGAGCTTAATAACTGTATGCTCCTGGTTTATATGACCTTTCCTCTACCAAACCCTCCATAGTAAAATTAAGTAGAACTTGTTTTATCGCCTGCTCTAAAGTTTTTTTTAGGCGCTCTAGTTCTAGAATTTCCTCCCGTACTTACTTCAAGCAAGTGCAAGTTTTGTGACTGATTGATTCACGGTGACTAGGACGGTCCCTAAGACCTCCGGTGCCGCCCCATATGTTATCATACTTAAGTTTTACAGACTACAACTAATTATAAGTCCATCGAATATAAGTTCAGTGTTCTTTCGAGGGCTTCTGAAAGGGACCTGCATAGTTATATATACCTACCTGCCAGTCTATGTACACTAGGGTGTGGCAAAATAGGTAAAGTCGGAATTTTAATGATCGCACTCTCTAGAATTGTTCTATGTCGAAAAATATACGCGAACACCTTTTCTAGAAATGGTATAGAATTCTTGGAAATCAATATTTTTGTGATCGGAAAGCTCTAGTTCTCTTCGGAAGACTTCCAGTAACAATACCCAATTATTTGTTTAAATATTTTTTAATACTAAAGATTTTTTATTTCCCCCCATTGCATTTTCTGCCATTTTCTATGAAAAATTTAGCGCTTTGAGCGACCTCTAAATATTTTTGATTTCAAAATAAAAAATAGGGTATACCCCCTCTTTTCACTATATAGCAATCCTAGGAGGTGAAAGCACTAAAAATTCCGACTTTCCTTATTTTAGACCACCCTATTGTACACTCTCCGACTTTTTAACACATATAGGAGTGCTGACTGGTCGATTTTAGTAATGAAATTAAAATTAGCTTAATTTAAAAAAAAAAATAAATAAATCAAATTTATAAAAATATGTTTGTGTATTAGCATTTAGCTTAAAAACAATCAACGTAAAATCTGAAGAAATAGGCACCTCGACAGTGATATTTAAATGTTTTGTTTGAAGAATGTAAATCAATGTTGCCAGATAATTTTTTTTTTTATAAAAGGCAAAAACTTTTCTAAGTTACTACTATATACCCTCTTTGACTAATTTCAGATCGTAAACAAAGAGAGCACCCGTTTACAACCAAAGAAACCATCAGAGGGACAAGCGCGTGCGAAATACAACTTCCAGGCACAATCTGGCATAGAATTGTCGCTAAATAAGGGCGAATTGGTCACACTCACCAGACGTGTGGATGAGAATTGGTTCGAGGGTAAAATAGCCAATAGAAAAGGTATCTTCCCAGTGTCATATGTGGAGGTGAGTGCGAAAGAAAAAGTATGTACGAGTATAATTTTTTTTAGAGAGCATTGTAATGAAATTTATATATATATATATATATATATATATATTTATTTATACGGCTCCTATAAATTTATATGTATATATATATATATATATATATCGGAGTATGCAATCAATAAACACTATTTATTGGCATTTCAGGTTCTCACCGATATCGGTGCCGAAGATATTGCCGCACGCACCGTTATCAGCGAACATGCGAGCGTCACGAATTTACGCCCCTCACTTGACACGCTACGCACAAATATTAATAATGAATTCAATTTTATAACCAAAAATGGCCATCAGCCACCAAATGGCATACTCAAGGAAACCAAACAACATCACAGCAATAAAATTGATGCACTACACGTGGATACGCATTCAGAGCCGTTAGTGTAAGTTGAGCGAAGAGGAAAAAAAGTGGAAAAATTTTAGACTAAATTCTTATAAATTTTTCTTCTCTGCAGCTATCGCGCACTCTACAAGTACCGCCCGCAGAATTCCGATGAAATGGAGCTGCTCGAGGGTGATATCGTTCATGTGTTGGAGATATGCGACGATGGCTGGTTTGTGGGCACCTCACAGCGCACTGGCTGCTTTGGCACCTTCCCCGGCAACTATGTGGAGCGTGTGCTCTGAAAGAGTGTCTTCCGCGGCACGCCAATAAGCGTTGATAATGCGTTCTACCAAAATACACACACACACACACACAATCACAATATTAATATTTAAAAAAAATACTTAGTTTAATGAACAAATTGAAGAAAAAGCAATCAAAGAATAAATTATGTTAAACAAAAACAAGTAAAAAAACACACCAGCAGCTGCAATATGAATTGAAAAAAGCCACCTAATATTAATTATATTTAATTTTTGTTGTTATATTTTATTTTATTTGCCGACTTATGTAATTTTAATTAAAAATTAAACAAAAAAATATATATATTTATTTACATACTTATATTCATGTTGAAAAGTATAACTCTACGTAAAACATATATTAAATTATATTAACCACAAAGTTTAAATTTGAAGCATAAAACAAAAAATATTTGCAAGAAGCATTAAATGGTGTGGAGGAGCGTGCTTGCGTAAGCCTCAGGCAACAACAACAGCGGCAGCAAAAAAACCAAAAGGTAGATGCGGCGGCGCACTAGCCTCCCTCCACCTGCAACGTTTACTAATAAAACTAGTCAAAGCTATTTCCAAAAAAAAAAAACATTAATTAATTAATTAAACATTTGCACAAGTTGAAGAAAAAGTAGAAGGAGAAGCTAAAGCTGAAGCGATATTCAAACAAAAATAGCAATGAAAATGTTTAATTTGAAAGTAATTGCAATTTCAAATGATATTCAACTGATATTAAAATGTCCTTGCGTCACATACACACACACACACACATATATATATACATACAGCAGTTAATAAACAAAGACCCTTGGTTTGTTTTACATACCCTCAGCAAAACCTACCACAATGTGCCTTCCCATCCATGTTGCCTTCATGAAAAAAATAAAATAAAATAAAAAATACCACAAATTCGATTACAAAAATGTTTGTATCCGAAAAATATCCTTTATCTCGTTACCGAATGTGTATTTGCAAGAAGAAAATTAAATGGTTTTGCCTGCTGGTTTGTAGTTGACACAATTTAGTTGTAATTTGCATACATATTAATGTATTTGTTGTTATTAGAATAAAAACCAAAAAATAATAAAATGCATAAAACACAAAAAAAAAACACTAATTGAGCAATATTTTAATCTGAACTGAAGGCTGCAAGTAGCCTAGATATAAGGGTGGTCCTTAAAATAGCAATATCTATATTTTGTATGGCGTCAGTGCTGCCAGATTTTCTTTTCAAAAAGCTGTAAATTTCTGAAAAAATCTATTTTCAACCAAAAATAACCGTAATCTTCAAAAGCGAAACGATTTTTTAAAAAATTTGGGTTTTTTAATTTCATTAGTTAAAAATATAAAAAAATAAAATCAAAATCATAAACAGTCCCAATTATACAAAACCAGACCTTAAATTTAGTACTACGACCTGAAGCATTGTTTACGAAATAATTTGTACTAGAAGGTATTTTAAAAAGCTGTAAAGTTGTCTAAAAAACTGGCACTGCTAAAACTGTGTATCTGGCAACATTACTACAGATATCAACAAAAATTTCCAAATTTTATAATATTTTGAGGGGTCTGAATTTTTTTACATTAATCTCAAACTTTTATTATTTTAAAATTTTTAAATTTTCGTAGATGTCTTTATTTTGTGCCACAAACCAAAATTCAGTTGTTGATATGTTAAGGAACACCTTATCAAACTGTCCTATCGTTTAGAAAAGGTGAACGGTGAAGCAGAAAGTCTCTTCAATCAAGGTAAGCGAACCTTCTAAAAGGCAATAAGAAAAACTCAAAATAATAAACAAAAATTACCTGGATTCAGAACATCGAAGAACGGGTGCGAAAGGCCACCGTTGCCCTATATTGCTGGAGAGGGGCAATGGTCCAAAAATTTGGTCTGTCTACGAAACTAGTGCACTGGCTATATCCGATGGTGTTGAGGCCTACACTTCTATACGGGATAGTGGCATGGTGGCCAGCTCTATGGAAGAAGTCAAATACTATGAAATTCCAAAAAGTGTAGAGAGCAGCTGTGATAAGTTTTAATGGTGCTCTCGGTACAAAACCCACTGAAGCAATCAATACGATTCTAAACATCCTACCCATAGACATTATGGGACTGCAATATGTTGCAAGTGCAGCACTAAGACTCCAGGAGCTATGAAGTGGGAAAACGACTTGATGCGCTTACACTATTATCCCCATTAACCAGCAACTACCGAGCAAAACGGACAATGCTTAATTGGGATGAACGCTATAGCATAGCTATACCAAGCAGAGAATCCTGACTCGAATAAGTTCTGCGATCTGAAGATGCCATTGGATTCGGCACAGACGTTCCAAATTAGACAACAGAGTTGGTGGAGGCGTTTACTGGGTGCAATTGGGTATGTCACTGTCTTTCCATCTACCTGACCATTGAAGTGTCTTTCAAGTCGAATTGGCGTCCATAAAAGAAACTGTCGACAACCTAAAACTGCCGCTGTCGCTACTACCAAAATATAAGTATAAGTACTAAGACAGCCAGTCGGCCCTTAAGACGCTTTACTCAGGCACTATAAATACGGAAACAGTTGCGCAAATCACTTAACGTGATGGCAGAGCAGTTTGCTTTGTACCTTGTGTAGGTGCCAGGGCACAGTGACATACCAGTAAACGAGCAGCCCGACGAGTTTGAAAAAAAGGGTACTTCCATTCGACTTTCATCCGACAGGAAGGGGATAGGTATGATCAGAGGTGGGCACGACCACAAACAAGCCTGAGCTAAAAGTGAGAATGTGTATGTGTGCCCAATTAATTTTTATGCTGTCGCGTTCTCATCGTTACGCTCTCGCTTGTATACGTACAAGCGTTGCTTGCGCTCTTTTAGCACCTGCTAAGTCTCTGCCCATGCCTGGGTATGATACTCGCTTTCTTCAAGCTCTCGCTAAGGCAACATTTCCTTGAGGCAACTGGTAACAGATGGAAACGCAGTGAAACCTGCAATACAACGAAGCTTATGCTGCCTAAATGGAACATGCTGCCTGAATCAACAGAAACTTACTCTGCGATTGTCCTTCGCTATGCAGGAAAATATAGCAATTCCTGGATAGGATTCCTAAAGGATCTAAGCGCAACTGCAAAGTTTGGAATACGGCAGTTGCTAAGGTTTGAAGACTCTACAAACAGGGCTCGAATCGTAACAGTCATGGACGTACTGCTCATTTCATATACAGAATTACAAGACGAGCAGTACGTTAACGACTGTTATAATCCCAAAATATGCATTTTTAAGCGACGAATTGCTAACTCACGACTGTTACGATTCGAGCCCAGGATTAAGTAGTAGGGGTTTTGGATCCATGTGTTGTCACAATGGGCCTAGACGTGCTGGCTTCCTCTAAGTTCAGCAGCCACTTCAACCTCGCCTAAGCTTTTTTCAAAAAGTACTAAGACCCATCGTTTGTAGAAAAATTACTGATATTAAACGTTTACGAAATGTGATCTCGGAAGGTTCAGTTAAATGTATACTCAAACACCAAATAGACTTCATCATGCTCTGAGAAGCTAAACACCGGCCAAACAATTTATTGCAAAAAAATTTAAACAATCCTTAGAGAACTTTAGGAAAAACATGGAAGAGCTTATACATATGCTAATACAGGAGCGCTTTCCTCCACCTGAAACCGAAGCGCCTTTAACGCATTACAAATAAAACTAATGGGTTCAATTTCCAGGAGCACATCCGGCAAATCTATATGATCTCCAGAGAACAGAATAAATGGAACGACTAATAATCGGACGTTTCAAGATTCGGCCATAGAAGATCTCACTTCGATTATCCGATTAGTTAAAGGAAACCCTACTTGTGATTCTTCGACAAATCAGACATTTTTTACTTCAAATCTTTGAACGATTTAAGTAGAGTCCTTTCAAACGTGTGCTGAATCATTGTTTTGTCTTCTTATTTCTGATCTAGGATTTGAAAAAATAGTGTCTTTATTTTTCTTGTCGCTATAACCGCAGAAGTGGCAGTCCTTGACCACAAATATTTTTAGGCCGTTTGGGTTAGTAGCATTTTCCAAAGATATATTATCTCCAAATCCGAAGAAAAGTAAAAATCCAAAATTACTACGATTAATTTTGGCAGAAAGGATAATGACCAAATTTAACCCTGGCTCAGTTACGGTCTGGATACTGTAACCAACAGCTAATAGATGACTTCTTCATCGAATGAACTAACCAACGACGTTTATTCGAATGAAAAAAATAAGAAAACCTTTAAAAAAAATATTAAAGACATATCGTCCCTTCAATATAACAATAGCGTATGTGCTCATATGCCATTATTTTTTTATTGCATATTTAGAATCTCCATCATTGATTCTATGTCTGGTCAAAATTTCGTCAAATTCTACTTCCACAAAGTGGGTCAAAATGTCATTGGAAAAAATGGTGTATAATTTCTTGTTCAAAAATTTCCTTCAAACAAAAAAAAGCAAAAACTTTAAACTCGATTTTCTCAAAACCCAAAAAAAAATTATACGCTATTGTTATATTGAGGGGACGATATTACATTAAAATTTTAATATAACATTTTTAAAAAGAGCACACAGTGCGTTGACAATTTTTGGTAACTTGCATCACCCTGTTATAGCTCACATGTTCACAATACGCCTGGTGCTGTCAAAATTATTTAAAAGTAAACAAACAAAGGTCAACAAAATGGACTGCAGCAGCCAGTAAGTATTTAACTAATTTAATCAATATTTATTTTATATTTATAATACAAAGTAAATTTTCAGCACGGAAGCGCCCGAAAGCTTCACGCGTATTGAGGCATTCTTGCAATTGCTACCAGTGAATGACAACAATGCGCTGCAAATTCTAGACCAACTGAAAGCGCTACGAAATCTTTGTGCTGTAGATCCAATGCATCAAAATATCATAGCTGAACATGAGGAATTCAATGCTCAGCTGCATAAATTACTATTTAATAACAACAGCACAGTTGAAATTCCGCAAAATATACTGCTAATAGCGCTACAGTTACTCGCGAATGCTATTGTGCAAAATCCCAACTCTCAACGCAACATTTGGAGGCAACATGGCGATGCAATTGTTGAATGTTGTCATAAGCCACCACTTGGGCGGCATACTGACATACTCCTAATGATAATGTACAATGTGCTGAAAGGCGGTGCTGTTTCGAATATGGAGCAACAATCGCTGAGTGCATCGGTTTGCGTATGGCAAACAATTGTGCAGGAACGCAGTGAAGCCAGCTGCGAATTTTTACACTTTATTTTTGAGCATTTCATTGTATACGGTGGACACAACACAGTGCGTTATTATGCACATTTAACACCTATGCAACGCATTTCATTCCTGGAGTACTTGGTGAATTACCTACGACAAGATAGTCCAAATGGACGTATACATCAGTTTCTTTTAAAATATATTACCAAAGAGTTCAACATAAAATCTGACCGAATTCTCGTGTGCAAGCGTGATGGTACACAAGCTTCTGCAACTGTCGAAGCTGATTCATTACCAGCACGTGAGGGTTATGCACTTTTGCGTGTGATTGCTAGCGCGTCTGGCAGCGAGTTGTATGGAGATAGTTATGCCAAGGAACAGTCGCTGTTTTTGAATGTGAGTAGTTTGTTGCGTTGCTTAGCGCAGGTGGGTAAGCAGTCGCAGAATATTTTTACACCAATGACAAAATTAGAGGAAGTGGCACTCACATCAGACATTTCAAGAGATTTCGAGTCGGAGGTTTCGTTTGAATTGAAAACTTTATTGGTGCGTTGCATTGCAAATTTGCTTTACAAAAATGCAGTCAATCAAGGTTACTGCATAGATACACAGTTGCTGCCGACACTCTTGGAGTGTACCAATATGGATGCACGAAATCCACGTTAGTATTTACTATAACATGAGTTTGAAATGTTTAGAAGTGTTATTGGGAATTCATATTTTACAGTTCTAAAAGAATGGAGTGTTTTGGCCATTCGCAACGCTTGCTTCGGCTGTCCAGAGATACAGGCAATGATTGCGAATATGACAAATCAAGGTGCTGCGCAGAATGACATTATTGACGAATTGAATTTAGATATGGGTGCTTTACGCATTAAGCCGAATCGAGGATGAAGAGTCTATAAATGTGGGAACTTTTTTAATGAAGAAATGTACTAATATATTGTTATTATTTTTCAGTTTGTAGTACATGCATTACTGTTTTTTTTAAGATACGTTTTTACCATGATTCAATAATTAAATAATTATTATTGAATCATGCGCTTTACAAGCCTTTTAATATTCTTATCAATTGCTCCTATACAACTCATAAAAAAATAAAATTTCTTATCTTAAAAAAGAAGCTCGTTCAGGATAGAATTGTACTTGAACGTTTGGCATCAGCTGGCAAGTAGCGACCGCTGTTAAAAAGGACCAGTGGTACTAAATTGAAAAACAAAATGAATTGTATAGAAAACAATCGAAAAAATATATATATTTGCATATGATATACATATGTATGCATATACATTAGGGTGGTTCTTAAAAAATTAAATGAGCGGTTTTTTCAGTCTCAACCCTTTAATCGCTAATACCACGGTCACAGATACCTCATACATATTTTGGTCCCAATTATAGAGACTAAAAAAATTAAAATTAATTATCAGACTGAAATCGGGACCAAAATTTACATGTGATATCTACGACTATAGTAGCATTGACGTAGGCGTTGAGGCTTATAAAATCTGATGATAAAAATTTGCTTCCTACATTTAAGAACCCCCCTAATGTACATATATTGTAGTCATACTTATAACAATTATTTATGTCAATATATACACACTTATGGGTAGGGATACCTGCTGCATTAATTACATGCCAAAGAAAACACACCAAACCGCTTGCTGGTGTCAAGTGTCGAAAATTTGCCCAGTTCACCTGAATTACTACTTTTGTCATACCCTTAGAAAACGCTCTTTCGCTCATATGTTACGCATTACTAGTCGATGTTCGCACATACGGATCTTAATATTAGGGAAACAAAAAGGGAATCCCGGCATAATTCTTCCGCTTTTGTCTTATAGTGAACATAATACTTCTATTCAATTAATATTTAAATGTGTACTTCTGAATGTATGTTTGTATGGTACGCGATCATGCAAGCGATGATCTAAAGCACCATACCTTTTCCCCAGATAGAGTATATGTACATACATACATACATATGTACGTACTTACATTACAATATACAAATTTTTGTCTGCTTATCAATTGTCTTTAGATACACCGTGCAGTGAATTCTAGACCCTAGATTATTCACAAACAAAGCACCTCTGTGAGTCCCCTGCGATTAAGCGCTTGGGAGATCCCAGACTTATGGGCGTGCTATCAGCAGCATGTCAAGAAAGTAAAATCACGCAGAGTATAAAACTCAGGTGCCCAGATGAATTCAGTATCATAACTCAAAAGCCTTTGCAGTAGCAGTACAACAGCCATAGTAGCGCAATCACTAAATTATTACCAGCAAACATCCGAAACAATCAATTCAATATGAAGACAATCGTACTTTTCGCTGGACTCATCTGTGCTTTCTGCCTCTTCCATGCCACCAATGCAGCGCCAGCTGATACAACTGCTCTGGAGCTAGAGCCGGAATTCGACCAATTGGCCGTACTGAATGAGGAGTCTGTGTCTGAGTTAAGTCGTCAAAAGCGCGCCACATGCGATCTACTTAGTGGCACTGGCGCTAATCACAGCGCTTGTGCGGCCCATTGCATACTTCGCGGCAATCGTGGCGGTTATTGCAACGGTCGCGCTGTTTGCGTCTGTCGTAACTGAGAAGAACAAGGAGAAACTTAAAACAGTGAGAGAAAGTTGTGGATACGCTTATTTTTTTTTTTTAGGATAAAACTCGAATTTTAGTATATTTAAACCCATTTATAATACTTAAATCGTGAAAATATGTATACTAGGATATACGTCTAATGAAAATATTAAAATTATGATAATAAATATACAGTTATATATTCTATTGCATGGCCAAAATATATATGTATGTATGTATTTACATAAGTATGTATATAAAATTCGTAAGTATTGGAGCCGAGGACGTTTCTCTTTCAGAATTGTCGTTCAGTTATCTGAGATAAGATATCCTGCCTGGTAAGGCATAGAATCTTTGATCTGAATTTCAGAACGAAGATCTCAAAGGAGAAGTTTGAACAACTGAATTCCTGTGCCTTGACTTCAAAATTGTAAATACATTAGAGCTCTGACAGTGCAAAGATGAAATATCTGTATACAAGCAGTCCTTAACGATAGAAATTCGTCAACCTAGGACCTCCTAAGCCCTTAAAGTCAGATTGGCAGCCAGGGTCAAGGTGCCTTTAAGTTGTAGTAACTTCGTTCAGTCGTCCCTCATTCTTAATCTATTTGTGTTGTGCGAACGTCTTGAAGCCCTTTAAACATTTTTGGTGAAGCCATAATTCCGTTACTACAGATTTTCCGGCATTGCTCAAAACTAAACACAATGATCTTCATAATCCTCTTTAAGCCAGCTTTAATCGTTAAGAGATTTTATTGAGACTGAAAGAAACTGTAATCAGACGAGGCTAGTTCGTGGCTATATAATGGCTACCTCAAAGCTTCACAGAAAAGCTCTATAGACACCAAAGAAGTATGTGGCCTAGTCCAGTCGTGATGGAAAACATTGCCTTTCTTAATGAATGATTGTTTCAATAGCATTAGTTGCTGGCAACAGAGAGCCGAATCAACGGTTTAACTAGGTCCTATGAGCCCGTGATGTTTAATTTGCCTGTCTGGAAGCTTCCTGACTCAGCGTAGGGAGTTTCCCTGGTCTCATATGCTGACGACTGTTCGATATTGGCGCCCTGTAATGGAATTGATGACCTCTGCTCGAAAGTAAACGTCTACCTTTACGAACTCTCTCGCTTTTTACTGCACGGAAGCTAACGGCGACCCTCTACATCACCTGGACGAAGGAGTTTAGTCTTCACCTAGGCACTCACGTCGATGGCAAACAAATTCGGACGGTGTATAACCCGAAAATCTCAGAGGTTAGCTTTGACAACCTTCTCCACTAGCACTACATAGAACTAGAGGAAGAGCCTCCGCCCAGGCAAATAAGAAGGTATAATTTCGAATATATGGTCGTGGTTCATATTTTCCTCCTTTGGACTCGACGACGTAACGGCCAGCGATCAACGGTATTCATTGAGAGTCGGTCACCACCTACCACGAGTCTAAACCACTGAAGGCCGGCGCACACTTTCCACCTATTGCAGGCACAGAGCTTCACCTGCCACGAGAGATCGCATTGCTCTGGCTCAATTACGGTTAGGATATTGCAGCAGCCTCGACATCCACCTGTCCAAACTCGACCCCTTATAGTCCTAATGAGCTTCCGGAATGTGAAGACTCCTCCCATGACTCCAACGACCTCTTCACATGTTAACTCCTACCCTTTCGAAACAGCCGTTATTTAGTTCAGCTTGGCGACAACGATTGATGAACAAACCGACCCAGGCGGGGCTTAGTAGTTCAGCTAGAACAACAACAGCAACAGCACATGACGAACTACTCAATTTCAATCCTACCTTGACCGCGCAATATTAGGGGTGTTCTCTGAGTCTTGCAAAGCCCTTGCACGGTGCACGGATTGCACGGGTTGCAAAGCTGTCCCATACGAAAACAGGTTTTAACCGTGCAATCTGTGCACCATGCAAGAGCTTTGCAAGACTCAGAGAATACCCCTATTGTTTTATGTGACCCTTTTTTCATCGTCCGAGTTGTTCGATTAAAAAATAGCTTCACTTCGTTTCAGCAGCAGAATTCTGTTAAATAAATAACGGGCTTCGTTTGGTATTCAGGTTTATGTAAATGACTGTTTTTGTTTTGACATTCGTCGGGCCCATCTTCCACACTCCTTCTGTAGCCGCTACAGGTACGACTGAAATGGATAACGAAACCTTTTGCCTGTCCTTAGGGATAGCATTTTATAGTCTCTTAAACCAACTTCCGTGAAATCGTAGCTGAACGTCATCTTGAGATATTGCAAAATATCTTTTAAAATGGGTAAGTACCAGAATGGAGTACTTGAGGTCAATAAATTTTTGAACAAAAAATTTTCTTCTCGAGACCAAAACATCGATATAAAATACTTTAGGATTCGATTGTAAATACTGAAAAAATAATGAAAAATTTAAAAAGGTAACCCGTACATTATGCAAAAACTAATGAAATTGCCTTCGAGTCGAAATACTTCCTTAGCAAAAGTTTAATAATTTTTGTCGAGCTTTAATTTACTTAGGGTGGAACATTATGATGATAGTAACTGAGAAATGGTAGGTAAGAACTAGAGCGGGGTACTTGAGTTCAATGAAATTTGAAACAGAAAAATTGTCTCCTCGATGCAAGAGCTGCGTTATACATATCATACTTTAAATTCCGACATGTCAAAAAGTGTAAAAACGCGACCCCTATGTTTGGTGAAAAAAAAAAAAAATCGACTCAGGAGTCTACGGCGAACTTTTTTCTGGATCAGTCGATGTACATTAGGATGCACCACTAAAAAAGTTGCGGGCTTTCCGCCGGAATTAAAATTGTACTATATTTTAAGATGTGTGCCAAGATATTACGGAAAGATTTAAAAGAGCTAGATCGATTAGAAAATACCTCCAAAAATCTCTTTATTTCGATTCCATTGACAAATTTCGTAAACATTTTTATGCAGACATGTTAGGCTTAAAATCTTTTATCATCTCTGAGGTGATTAAAAAAACTGAGTTTTGGAGATATTTTCAAATAGGCCCACCTCACGAAAATTGCATTATATTTCTGAAATATTTTGGCGGAGGTCTTAAAATATAATAAATTTTATACTTCCGATGGAGAAACAGTACCGATTTTATTTTTTTGTATGGAGAGTGATGCACCCTAATGTACATGCATATGGTTATATGTGAAAAATGTTTCTCGGGCGACAATTTACTGTTACCCATTCGATATCACTAAAGCATATCTTGGAAACCATAATTTAAATTTTGTCTACATTCCAGTAAACGAATTGCGCACAATAAATTTGTAGGAAATCTTTTGTACATACATACATATGTACATATAATACATATAAGACATGCCACATTTGCGCTCAAATAAATCACAAAATTTATTATACACTCTCTCCTTGAAAACTATGAACCGATTATCACTTAAGTAATAACTTAACTTCTTTAGTACTTTACAAATAGTTACTTCAGCCGCATACATACAGTGATATCCACCAATTGATATAAATTACAGTTTAGAAGCGGAAAAACACTATAACTGCAACAGTTAGAAAACGCATATCTGTTTAACTATTTAGCTTTTCTTCAACATGAAGAAGATTTTACTACTTCTAGGCCTCATTTTCGTTTGTTGCCTATTTGCTGTCAGCAAAGCACTACCTGGGGATACCACCACCACCACCACCACCACCACTGCAAGGCCGAGTTGGTCGGAACGTAAGGGTCGCTTCGCATGCAGATTTCTGGGCCCCTTCGGCATGGGTAATGCTGCGTGTGCAGCACATTGCACAATTCGTGGTAGCCAAGGTGGCTCCTGCAATGAACAAATGTTATGTGTTTGCAACCAGTGAAGGCAGGAATATCAGCGTTAAAGTTTTGAATGACATAAAAGTTGGAATTACATATATGTTTACATACATAACATAACTGTAACTGCATTGTTCACAAATAAATGCATCTTAAACACATTTTGCAGTGTGACAAGTATTTTTTGTGGAATTGCGAATAGTTTTTTTGTGTAGCAAAAAGGGAGGTTAAAAAAGCTGTCATTTTATTTCATTCGATTCGAATCGAGTTTCATTCGATCACGGATGCCATGATTCGGGCCCAGTGTTATTTATATGTTTTTGTTGAATATTTTATTGGTGTAAAATACATTTTTTGTTCTTTTATAAAAAAAAAAAAGATAATTATCCAAACGTTATAGCAGGAGTACAGAAACAAAAATTACACCAACTACGCATAATTACATTAAAAATTAAACTAATACATCATTTAGACATTAAGAACGACCGAGGCGAAAAACCAGCTGCTCCGATAACACCACCTTATTTCTTAAAAAAAAAAAATCGACCAACTTCCACCATGTTTTGTATGTACAATCTACCAAAATAAATTTTTTCACACATCAGTTCAACGAATGCCTTTTGATATTTAGTACACAATATCCCAGGGGACGCACACCTGCGAGTCCCCTCAGTGTTAAACCTATGCATATATGTATATGTACATACATACATACTTACAAGGGAAATTCACACTTTCATCATCAACGCATTATCAGCGGTATAGCAAAAGTATAAAACAAATCGGAATTTAAGACATGAGCATCAGAGCACTACAAGAGTCTTTGCAACGACAATCAGAACGCGACACAAAGCTATCAACTAATAACAAATTTTGTCAAAATGCAGAAAATCGTACTATTTGCCGGTCTCATCTGTGCGTTTTGCCTTTTCAATGCTAACCAAGCTGCTCCTGCTGACACAGCTGCCCTCGAAGCGGCAGCTGACCAACTGGCCCTGCTGGAGCAGGTTCCTGCTTTGGAGCTGAGTCGTGATAAACGTGCCACATGTGATCTTCTAAGCGGTTTTGGACTTAAACACACTGCATGTGCAGGACATTGTTTAGTTCGTGGCAATCGAGGCGGTTATTGTAATGGACGTGGCGTGTGTGTGTGTCGCAATTGAGAGTATGCCGCTGGAAGCTGGCGCTTTTAAATAGAGTTTGTGGTAAATTTAGGATTTACATATGGTCAGTTAATAACTCACCATTTTAAAATAAAAACAGTAATTATAAGAATAAAAGAAACTAGAAAAACTATGTACTATCTCGTTTATATTTTTTTTAAATGTCCTGATTGTTATGACAGACATAGTTTCTTCCACGAAAATGTTTATCATAAAAGCCTTGTGGTATTTTCTGCAATATTTACGCCTTTATAACTATTTGAAGGTTAAGATCGGCATACATAGATTCACTCACGCATGAAAACCCCTATGGCGGACGAATTGAGCGAGCGGTTTTACCTTTAAATGTTTTTATCATGGTTGTTAGCATTAACCCTCTGCGTCTGATGTGGTGGTATGACAGACACCAAAGGTTCGACATTTTTTCTGAGTTTCAATAGCCTTGACCACTAAAAACGCCTATTTTTCGACATATAGTTGATTTAGATGACTATTTCATTAAGGAGTAATTAAAGTATTGATAGAATTTCCAGTTTAAATTGAAAAAAATTTATTAATAAATATCTAATATTTATACATACATATTTTGATCTGGAAAATTGGTATATGAAAGACGCGCAGTAGCAGAAGGTTAAATCGAACATTATGCGGGATTTGTGGCTAAAATTCTTTCCGATCTTCGCTCAAACTCTGTCAACCTAAGCTGTACGCTTTGTTAAAATCATTGTAACTCATACAGAAAAAACCATTGCTAAATATTTACATTTGCATATGTTATAGTTAGTCATGCAGTCGTTTAATTTACTGCCGGGTATTTGGACCGGGAATCACAAAACTTAAGAGTTGCGTTATCACTCAATGCAATAAGTAAATACTGAAATATTTTCAAGACTTCGAGTGGCTTATAAAACGGAGATGGAAGGGTTGTCGTGTATCAGAACACAGTCGATTTCAAGGCGACAACCATTCAATATGAGAATAACCGTACTTTTTGCTTTTTTCATCTTTGCATCTTTGTGCATTTTCGATGCTATCGCCGCACCTGCCGACAAGGTTTCCTCCAAAGAACTATCAAGCCAGTCGAATTTAGAAAACGAGAATTCTTCAGTAAATTTAAGCCGCCAGAAACGCTTCACATGTAATAGTAATGCATGTGCCGCTCATTGCATATTGCTTGGCAGAGTAAAAGGAGGTTATTGCAACTACAGTCAACATGTCTGCGTTTGCCGAAGATAATATGTGACTTTCAGGGAAGAGCGGAAGGGCAAATGAATTATAATTTAATTTTTGTGTTTGTTTTTATTTTTTGATGCCTGTTGTGATGTCTGTTATTATAACAATGTAAATAAATTGTGGAATTATGTTTTCTTCTGCAAACATATTTGTATTTTTTTATTTTTGGTTTATTTAGTTCAGTTTACAACTAAAAATGTATGAAAAAATGTAAGCAACAAATTGTAACACACTTTTTATGCATATTAATTTTGATATTTATCTTTTCGTAAGAATAAATTTTCCGTGGGCAAATAGATAAAAAAAAACGTCCCGCCTAAAACCGTAAATAAATTCAGGAGTGAAAATAAAGATTTCATTGTCGGAAATTGTACGACCCTGTACCAGTGATGTCACCTTAGAAATAGCTACCAGCTCAGCCTGAAAATCACTGCAGTCATCAGGCAGGCAAAGCATAATGGTATACCTAAATGTTCCGTATAAAGACTTGGCGGATTCACAACGGTGTCGTAAGTGTCGTATTGTTTAAACTTCGTAAACTTTAAAAGCTTAAATAAATGTTTAGGGCTGAATTCACAGTACATAGTTAGACTATTGTTAACTTAATTAATAACGAAAGTTTAACTATGGGTTTATATTCATAGCATCGTAGTTAACTGGAGATATTTGAAACAATAAAATTTAGCAATGCTACGAAATGAAATGTTCTTGTTCATTTTTAACGAGAGGCAAAGGTTCTACGGACAAAGTATAACAATTTATAAAAAGACTTCAAAAAGCGGGCAGCAGCAGAGCGAAAAAGCCAATTGGAATTCGAAGAAATTTTTGATCAAATTAATTCAATTACTAGCCAAACTGCTTTTTTACTTAACCGGAATTTGTTGCGAAAGTCTCTTGCGCTATAAGCCTGAAATAAGCAAGGACGTCTGTTGAATACACGTTCACGACGATGTAATAAAAAGCTCCAGATTTGTTTGATTTCTGCATCGCTTTTAGTATCAGATTCTGAGCTTGTCCTATGTGAAAACATGTTTTAAATAAATATTAACATTTCTTTTTAAACTTGATTTTATTTTCTCACGTTTTTCTTACATTTTTCCTTGCGTCAAGATATGAATCTCATTCCACAAAAAAAAATTTAATTTGAATTTATCTATGAGAATATCAGGGTTTAATCTATTGCTAACTTTATACGATGAATACAGAAATCAGTAGTTTAACTCTTGTTCCTAGTTAACTACGTACAGTGAATTCTGCCCTTAGAGAACTGAAAACCACAACCAGCTATTTTTTAACACTTCGAAAATTCATAATATGACTTTGATGGTACGTTGGGAACCCTCTTAATATATTTTTAGGCGTTTAAAGTTTACGACATACAACAATACGACACTTATGATACCGTTGTGAATACCCCAACTGACTATGACCCTCCAATCGAGTTTGAGCTTACTGTGTACAACGCCTTATATCAGAAAATGTTTCAACAACGCACTATCTCAGCTACCGATATAAAATCGCCCTATCTCAATGTATTTTCGTTTGAGATAGGGCATTATTCAACCGAATTCTGAGATAGGGTGTTTTTCAAAAAATTCTGAAGTAGGGCGTTCCTTCTACCTCCACTTCTACCGGAACGTCTTTAAAGTTTATCCTTTTTTATATTCACGGTTTTCTGACAAAGGGTATGCTAACTTTGTTCGCTGTTTGTAATAGCCTGATATAATCGAGATATGTATATATGAACATGCCTTTGTATAGTGTAAACCAAAAAGCTCGTACACACGATAGCTCTAGGGAAAATTGTCACATCTCAATTTGGTGTGTGGGTTACCCTTGATGCAAGAAAAGTTGGTATTTAAATGGGTAATATCGGATAAAACCACGCCCACCACCCACGTAATGATTTTTTTTTAATAATTCAAAGACTGCGATAGTTCGTTATATAATGAAGCAAAATCAACCACATTTTAAAATCAGAGCGCTATTTTGTCAAGGAATAAGATTTTTTTTAAATGTTGGAAAATGATCTTGGTACCTCAATAGCCGTCTTATCTCACAAATTTGGTACACAAAAATTTCCTTTGGTATTACTAAACAAGATATTTAAAATTCTTGAAATCGGGCGCTAGCCACGCCTACCACATATATTCACCGGTATTTTACGAAAATGCAAAGCCTGAATATTTCAATAACTACTGAGGCGAAAATATCCGAAATTGAATATGCGCAAAAGCAATTTGTTTTTAAAAAAATTTTAAAAATGGCCGTGCCTCCTTCCCATATTTTAAAATACGTGTATCCGCTTAACTGAATTCTCCCACGTTAGACCGCGTAGAATATTTTCGAAATAGGAAAATAACGTTCATATAACGGTATATTTAAAATATGCATGTCACTGTGAATAATGCCAAATTGCTCGGATTTAATATTTGGAGGAATCTTCTGTCAAAAAAAATGCATTGCTGTAAAACTTCAGAGAAGAGCTCCTTGTTTCATAAAACAAAATATTAAACAAAATTTTAATCGGACAAGAGCCACGCCCTCTTTCCATATAGCTGATTTATTTTTTATTTTTTTTAGTGAAAAATTATTTTTTTTTATCAGTTTCCTTAGTAAATTCAAATATAAAAAAATCATTTTTCACTTAAATTGCTTTCGTGAAACTGGCTATTAAGAATAAAACGAACATTTAGTCGAACTTATAGCGGCGACGGTTTGTTAAACACGGTGCGTCGCTTACATGAGAAGATCTGTTACCAGCAAAAAACTAGGAAAACGTGATGAGAAAGTAAACTAAATAAAAGCGCCACAATACAAATATTTGCGCGGCTATCAATCGCAAATTGAGACGGTCTGGAAAAGGTAATACACTTTCATGAATGACTTTTAGTGAGTCCCCTACAAATGATGAGTAGGTACTTACATATGTATGTATGTATGTACCCACAGTTACATAGGAAAATCCAAATTCGCGTCAACAGCGTCTTATCAATTTTATGACAGAAGCATGTACATACATACATACGTATGTATCAAGTATAAAAGACAGATGTTTAGCGGAATAGGGCACCAGTGCAAAATAGCCTTTGCAGCATTAACTAGAAGTAAAATTAAGTTTATCTTGAAATTAGCGGGAGACAATACATAGCTAATTCAAAAAAAAAATAAATAAAAATGAAGACAATTTTACTTTTTGCTGGACTCATCTGCGCTTTTTGTCTATTCACGAGCATCAGTGCCGAGCCCGCTGAGTCTGCGAATGATGGTATTTTGGATACGGATGAAGTGAATCCATTAAGAGCACAATTGGAAGTGAATCGCCCGGAGCATTTGAGTCGCCAAAGGCGTTTTACTTGCGACGTACTCCAAAGCAAAGAAGCCTGTATTTTCCATTGCCTTTTACTTGGAAGACGTAGTGGTTACTGTAGCCGAGGTGGGGTATGCATTTGTCGCCTCTAAAACTATGCTGTTTACTAAAACCGGCGATTAGCTTAAGTTAGTTTTAATTTGAAATATTCGTATATATGTACCATTGTAAAAAAATAAATTGAATTAACCGTAAATCTTATTTACTGAATATGTACTCATAATAATATCACCTGAAAACCGATTTCCTATTTTAGAGTCCTTTTTTTAATACAAGAACTTCGAAAGCGCCAGCTAGGAATTTGGATAATGGCTTACAAGAATACATACCGTGCATAAAAAAATAGTGTAATTTTAAAGTTTAATTAAGAGGAAAAAGCTTTAATCAAACTTCAATTAGGCTACTCACTTTGGTGGAAGAGAGATAGCAAATCGGAAAATAGTAAAAGTACAGGAAAAAGAGGGACTGGTCAACTGAGTATCCAGTTGCAGTTGTATGACCATACTCAATTCCGACTCTTGCGTCCTGGTTCGCGCACTCTGGGCAACGCGAGAAATCCATGTGCGAGATGCGGTAGCCAATTCAAGTGGAGGCTTGGGCCGTGGCAGAAAGAGAGAAAGCTTCGGTGAGCCTCTTATTCGGTTTAAACGCTCACTGAAGTCAGCAACGTCTGTTCACCAAGAGGTGCGGCTGCAAGCGGGCGTCTAAATTGGAGCACGTGGCTCGCTGTTTTTATAAGCAACCCTGCGATGGTTGTGCGTTGGGCTTCAAACCCGCCACGTAAACACAATAAGCAATGAATAGACCTGCAGAGGCTCCTCGGCTAATTATCCCCTCAACGTTGACGACCCTTGCATCCAGAAATGCACCTGGAATGTTCGCACCCTTGATGGGAAACCTGCAGAAAAATTTGCAGCGTGTTGACATCTATTAGAGCTGTCATGAGATGGCGCACAAATTCGGTGTGGAAATTGTGGTTGGCCGGAGAATTCGACACATTGAGCTTCATATAAAAATAGGTGAACTAAAGCCCAGACTCAATTTTTGCATTGAAACAATTAGCTCACTCTCAAGAATTCCAAGCTCACTTTTTAATAATGAGACACATTGTCCCCAGGCTCCACCCCACTTATGAAAGAATTGCCACAATCCGAATAAAGGCTGAATTTAATAACAACAGCCTACTTTGATCGCACGCTCCGACGCACAGTGTATTATTTCCATATTCTATAAAATATTAATTACATTATTTTAGGTCGCCAAATGTCAAAACAACGTCAAAAACGTTTTTAGAAATGCCTGATAAAGACGAAGCAATAACAACTAAAAAATTTAAATCAAAGTCTAGGGCGGGACGGGGTTTGATTCGGAAAATTACCAAGCGCAATAATATTTAAACTTGTATATTTGAAACTGAATCTCAATGTTTAATTTGTCGGTGTTATGTGATTTATGGAGCAATTGCTGGAATACCATTTTGGTCTTATTTTTTTAGGTATGTTCTTTTTAATGAATATACATTTTTGGGATTTTAATAAACTAGGACTGAGTACTTAATGTTAAAGTAAAACGATGTTAACTTAAATTTATTTTTAGCTATTTATTTATTTCATTAGACCCGCAACCTCGTTATCCGCCACTATTCGATAAAGTTTGTATCTTATTTTATTTGCCACTCCTCTAGACTTTAAACAACACAATTTTATCTGCTGGAAATTGCAGGTTTCGATGAAATTTTCTTTTTTCAGGCCTACTAGAAATTTAATTTTCTTCGGGTAATTCATTTGCATTTTATCTCGACGGAGACAAATTTTTATATTGTCGCTTTGAATAGAGAAAGCATGATTCATTACCTTTCCAATGGTATCCAATTTTTGTAAATAGAGCAAGAAATATTGAACTTATAACGGAGTTTTGTCGACCCAACTTGACCTTTTTATCGATTTTTTCCACGCCCATAATTAAAAAAAAAAATATTTATTTTTAAATTCATTTCTGTCAGTTTATAATTCCTTGTTATAGGGAAATTCTAAATATCAATTTTGGGCATTTCAGCCTTTGAAGCTAGTTAAATATTTCAGTTTCTGCCTTTTTAAAAATTCCAGTTATATAATAGGGTGGCTTAACAGTAACTCTAAATGACCAATTTTTTGTAAAAAGTTTCGCCTGTCTTATAACGTCCCTTGTGCAAAATTTCATTAATCTATCTTCAATAGTTTTCGAATTACAGAATTAAAAGCAGCTAGATGGGTAAAATCTTACACTGTGCGACGTAGGAGGGCGGTGACATCAACAAGCGTATCTGCCCTCACCAGGTAGTTAAAATCATGTTTGGTGACTTGAACACCAGGGTAGACAATGAAGACAATCGGAATCACGTCCCTTCACTAGGCCAATACGAGGTGAGAGCAGCAATAACAGGACTTAGAAAAAACCAAGCTACTGGAGCAGACGATTTACCAACATGTACCAGCTTTTAAGCAGAATTTGGTGTATTGAACACATACTTGCAGTCTTTCAGTATTCTTCGCTCAATCCATAAGATGGGGGATCCCGCTGCCTGTGCCAATCAGTGATGCCAGATTGTTGGTAATTTCCCTATTTGAGGGATATTTTGCAACAAAAATTATTAAAAGGGAAAAAAGGGACATTTCAAATAAATAAGGGATTTTCTTTTGATGCAGTTATTGTTGCATAATTGATCCAAATTTAAGAATATTCGACATTCTTACGTAATTACTCTTTCTGAAGATGTGACGTGGAATGAAATGGTATATAATTGTTAAAAAGTATAAGGACAATTTAGAAAATTTTCTTACGTTAACCAATTCAAGCGCTGAGTAAGAAAGAATCTTTTCAGTTGTAACTGGTGTTTCCTGTAAAAAGCGGAACAAATTATCTGATGAAATGTTAAATAGCACATGAATGTGCTTAAATTTTTAAGTCACCGAAAAATTCTTTTAGGTGAAAAAATGAATGAGTGAAAAAAATGCAGAAAAAGGGGTTTTTTCTTAACAGCGGTCGGCCCCGGCAGGCAATGGCAAATCTCCGAGTGTATTCCTGCCATGAAAAACAGCTTCTCATAAAAATACACTCGCCATTCGGAGTCGGCGTAAAACTGTAGGTCCCTCCCCTTTGTGTGACAACAACAAGGGGCACGCCACAAATTGGGGGAGAAGCACATATGTGTAAGCGCCAATTATTATTATTTTAATGGATTTTACTTCTTTACTACTGAAACATGTATATGTTTAAATTCGTTGGGAATTTTGTGGGATAAATTTTTAAGCTGTGGGTAATTGAGGGATTTTTTCCCAATTTTCGTGGGATTTTTAACAGAGAATGTCTGGCATCACTGGTGCCAATTATCGCGGGATAACCCTTCTTAGCATTCAGCATCTTATCAGTGCGGCTTCAGATCTGCAAAGAGAAGCTGACTCTAAGAAGCCAAGTCTAAATTTGGGCTCCCGCAAAACATATACAGCTACATATATGTAGAGTGACGTTGAGCAAAGCATTTGCGACCTCGAACACAGAATCGCAACATTCTCCAGCTAAGTGAAGATGGTAAAATATGTTGGTATAGCGGAGAATGAGGACAAGACAAAACCAAAAAGAGTAGGTATCCATTTATTGGCACACACGTCACTGTTGACTTTGAAGTACTGAAGAACTTTGTATACTTATGATCCAGCATTAACATCACCAATAATGTCAGCCTATATATCAAGCGAAGAATAAATCTTGGCAACTTTGGGCTCCGTAGGCAATTGAAAAGCAGAGCCGATGTCGGCTCACTGCAATACCCAGATGAAATAACAGTTTTTTTTTTAGCTGTCAATGTCAATTCAAATGAAAAAGCTTCTCATAAATCTCATTTTCTGTTCGGAGGGCGCGTGATGTTGTAGGTCGCTTATTCGTTTATCTCATACACTCGTACGTACATATTTATCCACAAGTGCAATATATTGCAAACAGTTGCTTTGTGTTATTTGGTATTACGAAACATGCGGTGCAATAACATTGATAGCGATACGCTAGTTGCTCTTATCATGCGTATCTATTACTTATCGAAGATGTTTTGAAATCTTATACACGCATTATCAACATTTGGTGTATCGGTGTTTTGAAACACTATGCTTTCAGCCTTAAGCCCGGCAGTAAAAATACTGAGGTTCTCCCCATGAGTAGCACGCCTTATTATTTTCATTAATCTGCCGAGCTTCTTCCCAATCGTTTGTCTTGATGTTGTCACACAAATTAAGGTTATTGCAGCCTTAATCTATTTTAGGAAAAAAGGTACAAAATCAAATACATATCTGTAGAACGAGAAGAAATAGCGAAGGAAATGTATCTAACAGTTTTTTAATGCTTTTAAGGTGGAGAATTCAGAAAAAAAAATCTCCTTGGATAAAAGATTTACCTTGACCTTTGAAATTTCTTGAAACCGGTATGCAATGAACTTTTTAAAAGCTTTAAACACATTTTTTTGCCGTGCCTGCGTCCGTTTCCATGGTTGCAAGAACTGGAAAACGAATTTTGGATCTTATTTTCATTCGTTACAAACTATTTTAGGTAAAAAAAGAAGCAAAATCCAAAAATTTTACTTTGGAAGAACATTTTTAAGATCTGATTCAAACCGACCTTCATTACTAATATTTTCGAAATTTTTTCATTTATTGACCTAAAAACAAAATGCGATGGTCTTTAAAAAAGGCAAATATTTATGCTTTTTTGGTTTTTTTAAACCATGGAAATGGATTCCTTAACAAAAGTCCAGCAAATATATGTATGTATTTAAAACTTTTTGAAAAGTACATAGCAGACTGATTTCATGCCAAAAAAAATTAAAAACCTTCTATATTTTAAGGTAATTTCAAAGGCCCATCGAGACAATTTTTCCTGAATTCTCCATTTCAAGGGCTTTGAAATACCGTTACATTTATTTAGGTATCTCTTCTCGTTCTAGGAGATATTTGGTTTTGCCTCCATTTTTTCAAAAATAGAACACTGTTCGCCGTCTCCGAGCGGCAAATGGTTTATGTGAAACTCCTTTTCCTGGTAGAAGTATAATCACAGGTTTTTCATTGCCTGCCGAGGGGCGTCCGCTTTTGAAAATACCTTTTCTTAACTATCCCTCAGACGTAGAATTGAATCTAGGTTCCACCACATGGTAAAACGCATCACTAACATCTCTCA